CCGCAAACTTGGGCGCCCTGCTTCCTCTTTTTCCCTCCTTGTCCTCCCCCTTTACCGCTTGTTGGGTAAACAGCGACTGGGCCGGCGGCATCTGGCGCGGCCTGGACTCAGCGCTTGTTCCCCGCCGCCCGTGGAGGGGCTTGGTGTCATTGAGGAAGACGGGTTACCTAGGGAGTGGCAGGGAAAAAAAAAAATGGAGGCCTAGGCGGAGGTGTGTTTCGCTCCGGGACTCTTGTCTTCTTAGATGTAGGTGTCGGGCAGTTGGGCAGTGTTTGTCTAGGTTGGGGGAATGTGTCCCAAAAGAGCAGCCCTTAACTCTTTTTCTCACTGCTGCAGGAATCTGCTACACCATTTTTGACTTGGGCTTCCGCTTTGATGTGGCATGGTAAGGGCATGGAGAGGATTCTTCTAGGACCCCCCCTTCTCTTTCTGTACTCTGAGCCCTAGCCCAGACACACAGACCTTGGGGAAATATGGAATCTATCACTGCAGCATCAAGAACCTGGTGGGCTGGAGATGGGTGGGAGTTGAGTTTTGTGTGCTATCCCCAGCCCTGCCCTTTCCTGACCACAGCGGAATCGCTTTCTTCCCTATTCCCACACCAGGTTCCTTACCGAAACTTCTCCCTTCATGTGGTCGAATCTGGGCATTGGCTTAGCAATCTCTCTCTCTGTGGTTGGAGCAGCCTGGTGAGTGTTGGGACGGTGTGGGACTAGTGGGCTCTGAGTCGTGGCGGGTTCTTAATCATCCTGGGGACAGTGACTGTTTGATCTCTTTTAATCAGTTTCTTATCCTTCCACCAGGGGCATCTATATTACCGGCTCTTCCATCATTGGGGGTGGGGTGAAGGCCCCCAGAATCAAGACCAAGAACTTGGTTAGGTAAGTATAAGGGGGTCTGACTGTCAAAACCAGCTATGATGGAGGTCTGATGACATACTGGCTTGTGACCAGTCCCATCATGAGTCAAAGTTGGCTGGGGATTTTCTCAAGATATGGTTGATTTCCTTCTCATCTCTTTTCTCCACCCTCCCCTCACCAACCTTTACCATTACTATTGCCAGCATTATCTTCTGTGAAGCTGTGGCCATCTACGGCATCATCATGGCAATTGTCATTAGCAACATGGCTGAGGTAAGGGGAAACCAGAGGGGAACCTTCCCAGTGGTTTATGATTTGCCTAAAAATTGCAGGAGAGAGAAGGTAGGTGCATTAAGGGATGGCCTCTGATGACCTGTTCTCCTCAGCCTTTCAGTGCCACTGACCCCAAAGCCATTGGCCATCGAAACTACCATGCAGGTGAGTGGCCAGCAAAAAGCTCAGCCTTGTCAGGCATGGTGGTGTGGACCTTTCATCCCGGTACTGGTAGGCACCAGTTAAGAAGCCAGCCTGCCCTACGTAACTACATAGTGAGACATCCCTGCACCCATCCCCCCATGCACACATTCTGACACTTGTGTCTGGGGACTACACACTTGCTTCTGGCTCCAACATCCCTGCTTTCCAGAGCTGGGGTGGGACCGGCCCCATTAGCCTATGTTGGGTCCTTTGTCATCTCCTGTGCTTGTCTTGGCCTCACCTGAGCTGCTTTTTCTCCTCCAGGCTACTCCATGTTTGGGGCCGGCCTCACAGTCGGTCTTTCCAACTTGTTTTGTGGAGTCTGCGTGGGCATTGTGGGCAGTGGGGCTGCCCTGGCTGATGCACAGAACCCCAGCCTCTTTGTAAAGATTCTCATCGTGGAGATCTTTGGCAGTGCCATTGGCCTCTTTGGGGTCATCGTCGCAATTCTTCAGGTGCTAATTCCCCCTAGGGAACTGTGGCTTCTTTGTCCTTGTCCTCAGCCCAGCCTTAAGTGCCTCCCTTCTCCACCAGTAACTGTGGAAACTCCTTCCCGTCTCTTGGTTCCCCCTTTGTCTGTTGCTTTATATGCATGGGTTTCTCCTTTTAGTTCCTCTGTTTGAGTCTTTTTCCTCTCTGCTGCCTCTGGGAATGTCTTGTGATATAGCCTGGGATGGGATATCTTGACTTGTTTCCCTATCCCTATCAGTAGACTAGCATATCTAAAATCTGTATTTTGTAATTGTATGTGGGTTTGTGACTGAAAGACCAGCCTGAAGGTCTAACCATGACTTTGGGTGTGTGACTGGGTTGATTCCTGGGAACACTGGCACTGTCCATGTGCTCTTCTTTGTTGTACGGCTGAACTCCTTTGTCACTGTCCATGTCTGTCTGTCATAGTGTGTCTGTCCTTGTATGGTCATCCATCTGTGGTCTGTCTGTCCACCCACTGGCTTGCTGATTCTGATCTTGTCACTGTTCTTGCCTGATTTATCCTGTTCTTCTTTTGCAGACCTCCAGAGTGAAGATGGGTGACTAGATGATCTATATGGGTGGGGCCGTGCCCCACTGTTATTTATTGTTGGTTTTCCTGGGACAGCTGGAGCTGTGTCCCTTAGCCTTTCCTGGGCTTGGTGTTCAGGGCCCTCTGCACTCACCTCTTGCTGCCTGTTCACTATGGAGGCATTGCAGACCAGACTGAACCCCAGTGTGGGGGAATGGGCTGCTGATGGTGACTGTGTACAGCTGTGCACCTGTGTTCCCTACCCCTCATCCAGCCCATCTTCCCGGTGTTTGTGAAATAAACTTGATTATTTGTCCCGGTCATTGAGGCTTCTGTTGGCCCTTTGCGACACCTTTCACAGGAAGGGTAGGGCCTGTGCACTCTCACTCACTCTTGTAACTTTATATCTGTACACTCCATATCTGCCCTGGACAGTGCTGGCTCCTGGGTGGTGAGGGCAGGGTGCCTCTTCCTTGAAGAGTGGGCTCTGGGATCTTCGTAGTCCTATGCACTAGAACCAAACTGACTCCTCTCAGGGTTCCTATCCTAAGGCAAACTCCCTACACCTTCGTCTTCCTGGAGCCCATTTTTTGCTTCTCTTGATGGTCCTGTATGAACACCTAACTCTTCCAGAAACCTCCTCTCTGGTCTCAATTCCTGGGGTCCTGTTCAACTCCGCCCATACCTATCCAATTCTAGTTTGTTTCCCTAATCTTACCTAAACTGCTCTTACTCCAGAAGTCATTTTCGGTGAACACCTCCAAGGGTCTTACCCAGCAGGGAGCCCTGGTTGGCTGACCTTGAATCACACGCCCAAGAAAGAGTTGGCAAGGCCCAAACGTGGCTGAGTCGCCCACTATCCATACCCCATCCCGACGACCTGAAAGGCCTAGCCAGCCGCCTCCTGACCTCTTTCCATCCCTAAGGCAAGCTGGTGGAGGAACCTGACGGATTCCCGCGCCTCTCCTGGGTCTCGGGCATCCGCATAAGCGTCTCCCCGCCGGCTGGGCCGCGCAG